TATATTTTGAAGTAAAGGCTTTAAAACCAAGTTAGTACAAACATCGCTAATGTCACATAACTTTCCCGACATGTGGCCAACAGTAATGTTTTAATGTTCTTCATTATAAAAACATTTGCGCATAAATAAGTGACATCATATTCAGTACTTACTTCTGAAAGTTTACTCTTCAGCGGCTCCGCTTCCGCCGTTTTTTTCGGCAAAATTATCCACACCACCGCCGCTATGAAATCTGGGATATGTTGGGCCATGAAGGCTACACCGACCCATCCTTAAAGTTCAGGGAAATTAAGGACGCATTTGAGGGACGCATTTTGAGCAGCCTTTGAATTGGGACAGCCTTCGTGTAGTTACTAGGTAACAAAAGCTCAACACTGCCCCTAGCGTCCTGGAGCACTTCCGTTGTGTTTGGAGTTTGCAAGTGTTTTGGAGTTTGTACGTGCTTTGTCTCTAGGGGCCACCGTAATAAAATGATCAGTGTGGCTGCTCTTCCAGGTGTAACATCCAGGCATCCATGAAAACAGAATATATGAAATTTAACAGAGTTAGAAGTTAGCTCGCTGGTTTCCACCTACATTCCAACATAAATGCAGCCAGAAAACTAAACAACAGTGACTTTTGCAGGGTTACTGAAGGGTTACTGAAGTTGGACTAGCTGGTATATAATGATGTGCTACGTGATCACTGGTGACACAGCTATGTTAGCATAACATAAACACAGTGAAGCTGGAGGATCAACGCTAAATTTTTTCCACTCGATAAAAGGTAATGCAAGGGTTTCTGATGGTTAGGCTGACAGTGATCACTGACTGTTTTTAGGGGCTTGTTCAGATTAAATAGAACAAGATAAAAGCATTAAAACATGTTAAAAGCACAACAGCCTTAATAAATAGAGTAGTTTGGGCCCAGAAGCAGGATTCATCCATCATCACTTAAAGACCAGCTCTTGGGGCAAAGATAGCTCAGTAGATGCCACATGATCGGAAGGTTGGGCATTCAAATCCAACAAACAGCGGCTATCCTCGATTGGTAGCTGCCCACTGCATCACTGAGTGAATGGGTTGAATGCAGAGGTCTAAGCATTTTCCTACAGGAATAATAAAGTATAGATAAACAATGAGATTCAAGATAAGGCAAATTTGATAATATTCAACACATCTGTAAAGCAGAAATATCAGTAAAATACACATAAAATAATATGACTGAAATATTAATTAAAATAATTTAATATAATTAGTGAATGGGACACTTTTGTGGCATTTGTCAACCCCACTGGAAATGGGTCAACACTGTCAGGCAAAAATCCTGATGGTGTTGACACCCTACTTTCTCTCATAACACATGTTTTTCTGACAGAAGCCATCTTGTTTTTCATCATTTGCTTATGGCCTCTGCAATCTACCTAAATGAGGCTCTTTTTTTACAAAAAAAAAACTTAAATCTTGCATTTCATCGACTTTGGTGTTGACATACTATGGTTGTGACACAGGGTTTTATCAGAAAGGTATGCCATAAATGAAATAAAAAAAAATAAAATAAAAAACCTCATCACAGCAGTGATCTCATGGCATGTGTATCAAACAGGAAGTGGTAAAGGGGTCCTCAGAGTGTAAGCTACCCACAATAATTCCTGATTTTTTTGTACTTTTAAAAGAATCTGATGGTGTTGACAAAAACTCTGGACACGATTTTAATCACTTAAAAAAATATGTAAAAATAAATTTTCAATTGCATATTTTTACTATTATTTAAGGTATTGACTTAAATATTTAGTGACGAGAGCCATGATGTTTAAATTTTGAATGACTTGAATGTATTTTAATATTATCACACCTGCTTCTGGACAATGGATTTTTAAGGTACTGGTAATGTATTGTACCATTTAAAATAAATGTATATGTATAAAAAATTGCAAAATCATAATTTTGTTGTATAAACATTGCCTTGGTTTTTCTTTTGGGTCAGTTGTCAGTTGGGTTAACACTTGTATGCATATTTTTAACCCCCAAATTGGGTTTTATCTGGCGGACATGTTTTGTCCCTGATCTCAAGAATCACTGGTATTTCTGAGGTAGTATCTTTTCCACCAAAGTGCATTTCTGTTGTGTTTGTATTTTTTTGTCTGCTCCCACAGTCAGGGCGCTCTCGAGGTGATTCCTCTGGTCTGGGGTCAGCGCCAGATCCTCATAATGGAGCCGCAGCCACGGGACGCCTGAAAACACACGACTCCATCAGGAGGATGTCCCTCACACCATCAGCAGCAGTAGCAACAGCCTCTTACCTTTTGTGACCCTCTGACCTATAGACACCAGTAGCACCGCCCCCACGCTGTGATTGACAGGCTCTCCAGCCTTTGATCGCCCCGCACCCAATCTGTGAAGCACCTGAGCTAAAACCAAACCGTCAATCTCCAAAACGATACCTGCAGGAAGACACAGTAAAAATACATGTTATCAAATACGAGGGCTCACATATGTAAATGCACATATGCAAGTGCATGTGTTGGGATTACATTTTGGATCAAACTCTGACTGTACTTTTCTGTGTTCATATTTCCATCAGTATTGACAACATCCACAGCGCCAATGGCTGAAATGCCCCAAACCATGACTGAGCCTCCACCGTGTTTGGCTGCAGACCCTCACTGTTGTACCTCTTTTTGTTCATATTGACTATTTAAACCAAAATGTTCAAATTTGGATTCATCTCTACATCAGACCTCCTTCAACTGATTTTCAGTGCAGTTCTTGTCTAATTTCTGTTGGTAACAAATTCTCTTAAAACAAACCCCAAATGTAAAAAAAAATGTAACTATAATCACAAACTGTGTAACAACCTGCGCTTCAGCATAAAAGTTCCTGTGTCATCAAAGATAGCTGTGTTTGTTAGTTTCTTTAGATTCCTAAACATGATCAATTTTCTTTGTAAGTGCAGGTAGTTCATATTTCCTGAGTGTGTCTTTGAATGCATCAACAGTGAATGGAGGCATTTTATTGGCTTTACCATCCGCAAGAGCCTTCAGTTCCAGCTGATGCTTCGCTTTTCTCAGGACGCTGTAGTAATCTGCGTTGGTGGAGCACAACCGCTGAGCTGTGTCGCTGTTCACGCCCTGAGCCTCCATCATGGCCTGGAACTTTGACAGCGCTGCTCCACCAACCACAGCTTCGGAAATCTGCTTTCTGCCTTCTGATAGGTCAGACACCAGACCAGTCATCACGAGCAACAAGCCGCCTACAAACACAGACAAAACAAATTTTAAATATTTATCATGCTTTCTTTTTTAAATGTACCTAAAGGGAAATTTTTACACCAGTGTAAAATTAAATAAACTTAAAAATATACTAAAATTAAAGCAAGTTGTTGTCTGTAAAGGTGTGCATGCAGTGGGTTTATATTCCCATTATGTTTTTACAGCTGTCAGAATTAAGTGTTTGTTTGTTTTTTAATTTTAAACCCAAGTGGTCTATTTTTCTTATTAGCTATAGCAAAAAAATTATTATCATCATTATAGAACTGGTTATCTCATCTAAGGGTAATATTCACTAGGACTCTATAACAAAGGTAACAATGAGATTCTTGTCATGTCTCTGATATTTACAAAGGTGAGGCTGTTCTGTGTTTTCTAATTTTAATTTTCATGTATAAAGAAAGTTACAGGTTTAGATTAGTTCTGTCAGCATTAATCTCGTTAATACAAGGCTAACACCATAACCTCATTAACGCGGCAAATCCCCATTAGCAAGTTAAAGCGGATCTGCAATATTAAACAAGTTCAGAGTTTTAAAGAATGATAAAGAATTATGTGGCAGTAGTTCCTGTGGGTAAAAAGTCCACAAAATACAAGCAGTACAGCTCACAAGCATTGGGTGCTGCTCCTCGGTAGACTGCCAGAAACTGATCAGTCAGAACAAAGTAGGCTTTTAGGGAGGAGGACCTTAAAGAGACGGGAGGTAAACTGAGGGGCTGCATACTGTGTAAAATAATAATTTTCTTTTTCTTAACCAAAGGGCATCTGTATGGAGTGCAATATTTAAAACTATATAGAGCTAGGAGAAGAATGAAGATAAGATACATTTTATTTATCCATAATCTTTAATATTAACTCGACACTGCAAATTATCTGGCTTGCTGCTAGAAGAGGTAAACAGGCAGGTGGCACAAAAGAGATGCTGCAACGTTATTAGACCGCAGCTGTACTTAATAAAGTGGCCATGGGTGTGCTAATAAAACCAGTTGCCACTTTGAAATGGTTCAGATGCTTCCTGCATTTAGAGAGCCACAGGTGGTCCTAATAAATTGACCACAGGGTACGTGTCTCTAATAAAATAGCCACAAGTGTTCCTAATAAAGTGGTGTTCCTTTGGGTTTCAGGACCTTTTTAATGCCTCGTATAAGACACGTTGTTACTTTGGTGATCAAACCCTGACAGACGAGAGCTGCTGAGTGACGTCATCACCCTGAGTCGTGACCAGCTCCATCAGGTCATCGGGTCCGTTTCCCTTCAGCGTCTCCAGAGATTCGATCACCTCCACGCTGTTTCCCACACATCGACCGATCGTACTGTTCATGCCGCTGAGCACAGCTGCTGTACGTATGCCCAGGCCGTTTCCTGCTTCCACCTGAAAGAAAAATAAACAGCAAAATCCAAATTCGAGGTCAGCATTGCCATTAACGGGCTGTGGCATTGGACGCTGCGCTGTAAATTAAACCTCTGAGTTTGGATTAAAATAACCTGTAATTAATCCCAATATTGTCTCCCCTGTGGTTCAATGTTGTGTTGCTGCATCGCTCCTTGCACAGATGTTTCACATTAAAGCACTTCCCTCCTTCTTTTAGGTGAAATATTTGAATTGTTGTTGTACTCACTAGCATCTGAGCTAGTTCTGTAGCACTTTCCAAGTCTTTGCAGATAGCAGCTCGTCCAAACTTGACATCCAGCACCAGAGCAGACAGAGACTCGGCTCCTTTCTTTGAGATGATCGAACCTGCATAAACAGCACAGACGGCTGTAAGCTGACTAGAAAAAACACGGATATCCACGGCAAAATCCGGCCAGGTGCTGGACACCAGTTTTATGTGGGTATCAAAAGATCTGGTTCTTTTCATCAGTTTAAATGGGCATGCTGCTATACCCGTTCAAACTTATGTTCAGGTAGAAATGACCCTCCCCCGAAGGCTGATTGGGCTCACACATCAAGTAAAGAAAGTCTAAACCCTCTCCGACTGTGTGTCGGGTCCCCTGACCCTCGCAACACACGGGTGGAAAAGCTTAGATTTCTCAAAAAAACAACACAAAAAAAGGGTTTTTGGCTCTTGAAGCACTAATCCCAGTTTTTACCAGTAACCAGAGGTAAACTGTCCACAGTGCTGGTGATGTCCCGCAGAGCGTACAGGACTCGATCTGCAGGAACCAAAGTCTCTGTCTGACCCACAATGCAACAGCCCACTGAGTCCAGGATCTCCAGGATCTGGAGAAGAACAGCTGAATCAGAGAATGACTTTGAGTGTTTATCACTCTTTATTATCCGTATGTAGTTTTATTTATTTATGAATTTAAATATTTAATTATCTGTTATTTTTGTACCCTTATCACAAGAGCTACCATTGGAATTAATTAACAAATTTCAGTAAAGATGTCAGTGTCCTTGTTTCCCCAAACAGTCGATAGTTTCATCTGTTTTAGTGTACATTGTTTTTAAGAGCCAGCAGAGGGCGACTCCTCTGGTGGTTAAACAGAAGAGACTTACTCACTTTATTTTGACTATTAGGAAATTCTTTCCTTTTAAGTAAAAAGGTCTCAGTCTCAGTCAATAGATTCGACTCTTGAATAATTAAAAAAAAGACACTTTAAAAAGTCTCATCCCCATTGGCCAATGACATGTGACTGACAAGAGGTGAGCCAATGATCATCCAGTGTTGCAGTATGCAGTGTTTGTCTCTGTGGCTATATCCATCTATTATATACAGTCTATGCCATCCTTGAGCCCAATTTAATATCTGAAAATCTTTAGAGCCCAAAACTTTTAATATAACTTAATCAATGATCCTCACGTGAGCCTAAAGAGGCGACACAGGAAGTTATTCACTTGTTCCAGGGTCTAGTAGCCTAGGCAACTCTGTTATGTGAGCCAACAGTATCCTTGGCTCTCATTGGTAGTTGGCAAATTGAACTGCCCACTCCAGTGGACCAGTGGTTATTTCCCTCATAAAATCAAAATATTTGATATAAAAAAAAAAAAGATTTTTAAGTATATTTATTGTAATTGACCTCTTGTGACTCACATGCAGTATCCTCATGGCCCACCAGGGGGCGCAAAGTGCTTCAGTGTGTTTTCCCCCAGAGTAACATTTTGCTGACATTTATTAAAAATTAAAACTATTAATTTTTAAAACTATATGTAATATATGTGAGCCAGAACAGCTCGCTTCACCTGCTCTCTTGATTGCTCCACCTTGAATCCTGGAATTGATTCCAGTTTATCAAGAGTTCCTCCTGTGTGAGCCAAGCCCCGCCCACTGATCATAGGAACCTGTGGACATGGACTGAATTAATATTCCTAATATGGTAATCTCACGTTTTGAGAAAAGGAAGACACACCCACCCAAGTAAATCACCTTCTACTAATGTGGGGTAACAAATCACAAGACGTTTGTTTAAAAGGGGAGGAGCTTAAACAGAACCAGGGGGCTGCACTGAGTCCCAGTCTAAAATAATATTAATCATGTAAATCTATTGCAGTCCAACTGGGCATGAACAGAATGGGTTCACTTTAACGTTTTAACCAATCAGATTTCATCGTTAAAATATATACCTTACAGCCGCAGGCAGCTAGCGCTGGCGCTAACACCAGACTGACTTTATCTCCCACCCCGCCAGTCGAGTGTTTGTCCACCATGAAATTTTTCCACTCATCGGGCCATTCCATCACTTCTCCCGATGACATCATCTCTCGGGTCAGGGCCTTAATCTCTGCAGAGACCATCCCATTCAGCCAAATAGCCATCAGCATGGCCCCTTAAATACAAAGAGTGGGAGACGTTAAAGATGCAAAGGAGGAAATGTGAATGCACGTCAGATGGTTTGTACCTGTCTGAGAGTCCTGAATGGTTTTCTCTTTAACGGCCTGGATGAAGGCTTTGATCTCATCATCACTTAACTGTCCTCCATCCCTTTTCTTCCTGATCAGATCTGGGATTGTTATCATGTCTGCTAGAAGTAAAAACATTACAAGTCTGTTGAGACCTAAATTTTTTCAACCATTCAGTGACCAGGATCTGATTTTATTAATCATGGTTTTATTAGTCATCCCTGTCAGTCTGCCTCAGGGCAGCTGTGTCTACAACTGTAGCTTGCCTCCACCAGTGTGTGAATGTGAGAGTGAATGAATAGTGGCATTGTAAAGCGCTTTGGGTGCCTTGAAAAGCGCTATATAAATCCAATCCATTATTATTATTAATCATAGAGTTCTTTCCTGTGTGTTTGTTTTTCCTTTTTCTCTGGATTTTAAAAGACAGGGCCAAAAAAACTGAGACACAAACAAAGTAGATTTACCTCTTAGCAGTACTGAGAAGGCAACACAGTTTGAGTTAAGGCATTAAAACAGGAATCAATCTGTTTGAGCTGCCACATCATCTTTCTCATTTTATAAAGACAAATATATCAACATGGAGAGTTTCTGTTACTGACTTTCCTAAAAGATTAAAAAGTTCAAATTTTATGTAATTAATTGACAATTAAGTAATAAAAAATAGTATATAAAGTAAAAAAGCATCAAAAAACAATTTTTTTCAGGAATAAAACTTAAAACTTGCACAATTAGAATATTAGAAACTGAATTCCACTACATCTGTTTTTAATAATACATGTAGTAGTGTGCTGAGTTCAGCACTAATTGTGTAAAACAGCCAGTCACACGCCCTGTTCCTCTGAATCATCTTTCTGAAGAAGCTGGTGGAAAGCCACCTGTCCTACATAAAGCTGTTTCATACATCACCTCTGCTTCCTCTGCAGCACTTTGTAATCGAACCACACAGCCAGCCTCTGGTGCAACGCAGATTAACAGCGCAGCAGGACGAAGGCAAGTTTCTCTGCGTGTGTGTGTGTGTGTGTGTGTGTGCAGCAGCTATAAATGGACTCAGCAGAAACAACATCGGGATGAGCATCTAGTTCCCCCAGCAAAAAATCTTTCACAGACTCCCTTCTTTTGCAAAGGCAGAAAAAAATTAATAGCCAGCTAGCTTTGTTATTTTTGATGTTATCATTATTTTTTAGCCAGCTGTAAATCTTTTATACACCCTCTGTGACTCAAAGGACCAGTACTGCCATGACTCCAGTTTATTGTTGGACTCATAAAGTCAGAGGTGGCTCTGCTGGTGAAAGTTCAGTACTGTGCAAAGGTTTTAGTCACTTTAGACATTCAGCTCCTTATCTGTATCACACAGCAACATCGGGGAAATATAACAAATCATCACGTTACAGGCAAAAGAACAATAATAATACATGTGTTTGGTACCTAATTAGCAAAATAAAGCCTGTGACTTGTTTTTGCTTTTATTGTCTCCACTTCCTATTCTCTACCTTCTGAATTCTCAAATAAACCAACCAATCAGCGCATCTGTTTAAACTCTAAAACAACAATAGGAACGATAATGAACACTTTAAAAACTTATTAACAAACAGCCTTAATCCATTCAGCCCCTGCAGATTTTCTGTTAACCATACCGACCTCTAACCACAGGTAAAATTTAACAGTTCAGCTCTGAAGAAGAGGAAAACATCCCTGTTATGAGAGTAAGACAGAGTCAGAGTACAGTACCTGGTCTGATGTTTACAGTCTGTGAAGTGGCATCGACCCCACGGTCCTTCATAAAGTGAGTCTGTCAGCCAATAGGAGAGCAGGGAGAGGAAAGAGCGAGAGCCACTAACCTTTGACCTCTGATTTGGTCATTCAGAGAAAAAAAAAGCTGACAAATGTCCCCACTAAGTGAAGTTCATGTGCTGTGTGTTTACAGACGATCTGTTTATTTGTGTGTCACGTGCAGGTGGCTGTTATCGGTTCAGACGGGTCCTCTTGTATTTTGGTTTCAGTTTGTGGGCTCCTTCTGCTTTTACTATTTTAAATACTTTACTTTTATTTTGTTCTGAACATTTTCTGTATGTGCTGTGAGGATATGAAAGTATGTGCAAGTTACGAGAAGTTCGGAATAACTAAAGGTATTTTAAGTTTAGTTTAACTGTAATAATTGCTTCCGGACGTTTGTTTGTTTCTTCATTTTAAACTTTCCTTCAAAAGGAGCATGGATTTTTTTCCCTGCCTGTTGTAACCATGAGTGACACCAATTGTTTTAAAAAATTGAAATGCAGAACTTCAAATATGATTTTTGATCAAGTAATTAAAAGGCGGACATTAGGAAGAGTTTAAATTGAATATTCTGTCTCTGTCTTTGTGTCTAAACCCATGCATGTACACATTATTAGTTTAGAAGCCACTCATAAAATACCTATAAAATGTATATCTTGGCCCCAATGAGACTATTAACTCTTGCAGCACCGGGTTTTCGTAATTGTGGTTCAAGTGAATTGATAAACTTTTTGAAGGTAATTGACTCACACAGTTGTGTAGATATCCCAGTCCTGTTGTCTCGGGATGCATCACGCTGCCTTGCCTGGGGTTAGCTTCTGTTTTGGGTAAGCTAGGTTAGCCTTCTTGTGTGAGCTTTTCAAGTGCACTTTAAGGTTTGTGGGATTTTTTTCCCTTTAGAAATGTC